TAGGTGTTGATTCTTTTTCGAATGACACTGATCCGTAAATGACTGCTACCCTTTGGGTGTAACTCAGACTAATTGTGTATATCCACCCATTGATGATGCCTTCTTCATTAAAGGCTTCCTGTTCACCCGATGGATAGACACGGCTCCCCTGTATGCTAGATATGAGATACTCCCCTATACACCCAGATTCATCAACAAAGGCCCCACCTATGAATCTGCACTGAATAATCAGATAGCAATATTGCTTATTCAGCACATCCGCTCAGAGATCTAGATAATTGCAAACATAGTTTTCCAGGCAGATGAACCAAGGCTGGAGCTATAGCTAAATACTGGGACAAGGTCAAGTAAGAATACAGCAAGACTATGGCCCCTTCTACACTGCCATATAAAATCCAGATTATCTGCGTCGAACTGGATTATAAGGCAGTGTAGACTCATATAATCCAGTTCAAAGCAGATAATGTGGGTTATATACTTTGATAATCTGGATTACAGGGCAGTGTATAAGGGGCTCTCTTTCCCAGGCATTCTCATATCCTATTTCTGGTCATATAATTTTTATTGCCTAAGCATAATACCTTGCATTTCTCTCTGTTCAGATTCATTCACTTTTGACACAGCACAAATCGAAAGAATGCCATAGCAAAAGCAACAAATCTCATTTTACATGGCTCATTTTTTTAAATAATTTTCAACCAGCCGCAGAATGCCAATTGGTTCAAAGCATATGCTCTGCTCTGAAACGACCAATTTATTTATTTATTTACTTCCTATATTTGTATACTGCTTTTCTCAGCCCTTGGGCGACTCAAAGTGGTTAACAATAGCAAAATTAAATGCTCAGAACAACATAAAACAGTTAAAAACAATTATTTGTTCAAAGCATACGCTCTGAAATGACCTATTTATTTATTTATTTATTTACTATATTTGTATACCGCTTTTCTCAGCCCTCAGGCGACTCAAAGCAGTTAACAATAGCAAAATTCAATGCTCAGAACAACATAAAACAGTTAAAAACAATTTCAACAGTAGCATATTAATCAGTTATACATCAATAAACATTACATTCGCGTCTCATAATTAGAATCAGGATCCGGTTTCATCATCCAATTGTTCCATATTCCTATATTCTTTACACTGCCTATTCAAATGCCTGCTCGAACAACCAGGTCTTCACTTTCCTCCAGAATGATAACAAGGAGGGGGCCGATCTAATATCTGTAGGAAGGGCATTCCACAGCCGAGGGGCCACCACTGAGAAGGCCCTGTCTCTCGTCCCTGCCAGACGTATTTGTGACGCAGGCGGGACCGAGAGCAAACAATCTTAATGTCCTAGTGGGTTCATAGGAGGAGATGCGTTTGGACAGGTAAGTTGGGCCAGAACCGTTTAGGGCTTTATAGGCTAAAGCCAGCACTTTGAATTGTGCCCGGTAGCAGACTGGCAGCCAGTGGAGCTGGTGCAAAAGAGGAGTTGTATGCTCCCTGACCGCCGCTCCTGCTAATAACCTGGCCGCTGTCCGTTGGACCATTTGAAGCTTTCGGACTGTCTTCAAAGGCAACCCCACGTAGAGAGCATTGGAGTAGTCTATCTGGGATGTAACCAGAGTGTGGACTACCATGGCCAAGTCAGACTTCCCAAGGTACAGGCACAGCTGGCGCACAAGTTTTAACTGTGCGAATGCTCCCCTGGTCCCTGCCGAAACCTGGGGTTTCAGGCTCAGCGATGAGTCCAGGATCACACCCAAGCTGCGAACCTGCATCTTCAGGCCATTGGATCTATGCCTATAGTCACAAGGGAAACTTCCTGGTTTGTCAGTTGCTCTAATACACTATACAATATATATATATATACATACACACACACACACACACACACAAACACTAGCGGTCCCCTGCCACACGTTGCTATGGCCCAGTCTGGTGATCTGGAAAATAAAGTGATGAGAAAGTGTTGGTTTCTAATATATGTAATGTCTTTATGCTTGTGGGTAAACAGTATTTCTTGCTGTTTCTGTGCCAGTGTTGACGTCTGGTTTGCCTACTCTGGAACAGGCAACATATCATTGTCCTTCTTTAGAGGTCCCTTTCAAATCTTTGATACTGCATCTGTCATATACATATATGTGTGTGTGTGAATGACTGGATGGCCCTTTGTCAGGAGGGCTTAGATTATGTTTTCTTGCCCTAGTGAAGGGAGTTGAACTGGGTGGCGTTAAGGCAGCATTTCTCAACCTTGGAAGTCAAGACCTGGGGGGGGGGATGTCACCAGGGGGGTGTCAGAAGGGTCACCAAAGACCACCAGAAAACACAGTATTTTCTGTTGGTCATGGGGGTTCTGTGTGGGATGTTTGGCCCAATTCCATCATTGATGGGGTTTGGAATGCTCTTTGATTGTAGGTGAACTATACATCCTAGTAACTACAACTCCCAATGTCAATGTCTATTTCCCCCAAACTCCATCTGTGTTTACATTTGGGCATATGGAGTATTCGTGCCATGTTTCGTCCAGATCCATCATTGTTTGAGTCCACAGTGCTCTCTAGATGTAGGTGAACTACAACTCCAAAACTCAAGGTCAGTGCCCACCAAACCCTTCTAGTGTTTTCTGATGGTCAGGGGAGTCCTGTGTGCCAACTTTGGTTCAATTCCATCATTGGTGGAGTTCAGAATGCTCTTCGATAATAGGTGAACTATAAATCCCAGCAACTACAACTCCCAAATGACTAAATCATAATTTTTTGAGTGATGGTCACTCCTTGTGTTGTGAGACGTTTTGTTGCCAAATTTGGTATGCTATATATATAGTAATTCAAGCCTGAACTTTCACCAGAAGGTAAGATGAAAAAACGAATTATTCTACTTATGCTACATGATAAGACATCCTTCACAGATAAATGCATAAAAAATACATAAATGCAACAAACATTTTTTCAAGAATAATGGTGAAAGTGGAAATCAGTACAAAAGATTGTATGTACAAAAGAGGGATTGACTCAGTCAAGGAAGCCACAGTAAAATCTTTTTGCAATGCACTGACTCATAGAGTTGCTGCAATCTGAGATTGACTTGACGGCACATAACACACGGACACAGAGACACATAACACACGGTCAAACACAGGAAATCATCTGTCTTGCTAATATAATTGAAATGTCATGGAGATCCTACATAGGGTTTCATAACTCTCAAGAGTTATGCATCAGGAATGATGCTACACAACCTTTTTGCTCTGAATGGTAATGTTCTGTAACAGAGTACACAACTCAATGCACAGATATTGAGCACAATAGGCACTATGGAGTATGCATGTTCCGCGTTGGTTGGACAAAAAGGTCCATCGTCTTCCATTGTACAACATAGGCCTAAGTAGGAAGGCAGTGTAATAGATGATGATGATGGTGATGGATCTTAAATCCCACTGGGTGACCTTGGAGAAGTCACACTCTCTCAGCCTCAGAGGAAGGCATGGGAAAACCCTCTCTGAACAAATCCAACCAACTGACACACAATCCAGATTATCAAAGCAGATAATCAACATTATCTGCATTCGACTAGATTATTTGCGTATACACTGCTATATAATCCAGTTCAAAGCAGATGATCTGGGATTGCATTCTGGGATACAGTTCAGTGTAGATCCAGCCTGATGCCCCTTCTAGACCGCCATGTAATCCAGATTATCAAAGCAGATTATCCACATTATCTGCTTTGAAATGTATTATAGGAGTCTACACTGACATATAATCGAGTTCAAAGCAGATGATCTGTGTTTTATATGGCAATGTTGATTGGACCTACTAGGATAGGTTGGCCTAAAACTGGATTTACACTTCCATATAATCTGGTTTTTGAATCCAGTTTATCTGTTTCGAACTGGATTATATGAGGCCCCTTCCACACTGCCATATAACATTCAGATTATCTGCTTTGAACTGAATTATACGACAGTGTAGACTAATATAATCCAGTTCAAAGCAGATTGTGTGGATTATCTGCTTTGATAATCTGGATTACATGGCAGTGTAGAAGAGGCCTCAGGCTGGATCTACACTGAACTGTATCCCAGAATGCCTGCTTTGAACTGGATTGTATGGCAGTGTGGACACATATAATCCAGTTCAAAGCCGATCATGTGCATGACCTGCTTTGATAATATGGATTATATGGCAGTGTAGAAGGGGTTTTAGTCTGGATCTACACTGCCCTTATATCCCAGGATTCAATCCCAGATTATCTGCTTTGAACTGGATTGCATGGCAGTGTGGACACATATAATCCAGTTCAAAGCCGATCATGTGTATGACCTGCTTTGATAATCTGAATTATATGGCAGTGTAGAAGGGGTTTTAGTCTGGATCTACACTACCCTTATATCCCAGGATTCAATCCCAGATTATCTGCTTTGAACTGGATTGTATGGCAGTGTGGACACATATAATCCAGTTCAAAGCCGATCATGTGCATGACCTGCTTTGACAATCTGGATTATATGGCAGTCTAGAAGGGGCCTCAGGCTGAATCTACACTGAATTATATCTCAGGATCCAATCCCAGATTATTTGGTTTGAACTGGATTATATGTTAGTGTAGACTCATATAATACAATTCAAAGCAGATCATGTGGATTATCTGATTTGATAATATAGATTACAGCACATGGAGGTCTAGAAGGGGCCTCAGTTTGGATCTACACTGAATTATATCCCAGAATGCAATCCCAGATTATCTGCTTTGAACTGGATTATGTGACAGCTGTGTCAAATCCACACTGAACTGAGTTATATGGCAGTGTGGGCTCTGAAAACCCAGTTCAATGCAGATATTGTGTATGATCTACCTGGATATCCTGGACTATAGGGTATAGGTATAGATCTATAGATGTTGCCGTTTTGGGGGTGGGCTAGATGCCCTCTGGGGTTCCCCTCGGTGGAGTGGAGTGGAGTGGAGGGAGGCTCCTCCTTTTGCTCCTCCTCCTCCTCCTCTGGGGCCAGCCTTTTCCTTCCTTGGCCAGAAGAGCCAGAGCCAGAGAGAGAGAGCCACGCCATGCTTCTTGCCTTCCTCCTGCTCCTCATTTCCTCCTTCTCTTCCTCCCATTCTTCCTCTTCTTCCTTCTCAGCCGAGCAGCGCTGCTTCTGCCAGGTGAGACCCCCAAAGACCCCCCACTTCCATAGGAAGCTTCAGGTTTGGGGCAGTTGAGAGAAGAAGGAGGAGAATGGGGAGGGTCTGTTTTGTTTTGATCATCATTTTTAGGCTGGGTTTCCCTATCCTGTTATTTTGTCATCATTTTAGTGGGAGTTTCTATTATTATTTCATTTTTAGTGAGAGTTTCCCAGCTGGGTTGTTGTAGGTTTTTTTGGGCTATATGGCCATGTTCTAGAGGCATTCTCTCCTGACGTTTCGCCTGCATCTATGGCAAGCATCCTCACAGGTAATGAGGTCTGTTGGAACTAGGAAAAAGGGTTTATACATCTGTGGAATGATGAGGGTGGGACAAAGGACTCCTGTCTGCTGGAGCTAGGTGTGAATGTTTCAACTGATGACCTTGATTAGCATATAATGGCCTGACAGTGCCCGGAGCAAATCACCTCTCAACAAAAGTTTGCTCCAGGCACTGTCAGGCCATTATATGCTAACCAAGGTGGTTATTGTATTGTCGAAGGCTTTCATGGCCGGAATCCATGGGTTGTTGTAGGTTTTTCCAGGCTATATGGCCATGTTCTGGAGGCAATTTTTCCTGACGTTTCGCCTGCATCTATGGCCACTATCTTTGAGGATGCTTGCCATAGATGCAGGCGAAACATCAGGAGAAAAGTTGCCTCCAGAACATGGCCATATAGCCCGGAAAAACCTACAACAACCCAAGGTGGTTATTATTATTATTATTATTATTATTATTATTATTATTATTATTAGAAACACAACAAGATATCTGTGGAATGACCAAGGTGGGACAAAGGACTCTTGTCTGCTGGAGCTAGGTGTGAATGTTTCAACTGATCACCTTGATTAGCATATAATGGCCTGACAGTGCCTGGAGCAAACTTTTCAACAAAAGTTTGCTCAGGCACTGTCAGGCCATTATATGCTAATCAAGGTGGTTATTATTATTATTGTTGTTGTTTATTTGCTTTGACAATTATTATTATTTGAAACACAACAAGATATCTGTGGAATGACCAGGGTGGGACAAAGGACTCTTGTCTGCTGGAGCTAGGTGTGAATGTTTCTACTGACCACCTTGATTAGCATATAATGGCCTGACAGTGCCCGAGCAAAGTTTTGTTGAGAGGTGATTTGCTCCAGGCACTGTCAGCCCATTGTATGCAAATCAAGCCTCCAACAACTCTTCATAGAATCATAGAATCAAAGAGTTGGAAGAAACCTCATGGGCCATCCAGTCCAACCCCATTCTGCCAAGAAGCAGGAATATTGCATTCAAATCACCCCTGACAGATGGCCATCCAGCCTCTGCTTAAAAGCTTCCAAAGAAGGAGCCTCCACCACACTCCGGGGCAGAGAGTTCCACTGCTGAACGGCTCTCACAGTCAGGAAGTTCTTCCTCATGTTCAGATGGAATCTCCTCTCTTGTAGTTTGAAGCCATTGTTCCATTGCGTACTAGTCTCCAAGGAAGCAGAAAACAAGCTTGCTCCCTCCTCCCTGTGGCTTCCTCTCACATATTTATACATGGCTATCATATCTCCTCTCAGCCTTCTCTTCTTCAGGCTAAACATGCCCAGCTCCTTAAGCCGCTCCTCATAGGGCTTGTTCTCCAGACCCTTGATCATTTTAGTCGCCCTCCTCTGGACACATTCCAGCTTGTCAATATCTCTCTTGAATTGTGGTGCCAAGAATTGGACACAATATTCCAGGTGTGGTCTAACCAAAGCAGAATAGAGGGGTAGCATTACTTCCCTAGATCTAAACACAGTTTGCCTAGTTCCAACAGACCTCACTACCTCTGAGGATGCTTGCCATAGATGCAGGCGAAACGTCAGGAGAGAATGCCTCTAGACCATGACCATATAGCCCGAAAAAACCTACAACAACCCAGGTCCTCAAATTTTTTTAGTTCATACAGATCAACCAGTCAATTATTACATTTCTAACAGAACAAAAGCAAACAAACAGAGAAACTACAAAATTTGTGAGTTTGGTAGTTGATAATGTCCTTTGACCAGTATCTGGCCACTTGGAGTGCCTCTGGTGTTGCTACGCAAGGTCCTCCATCGTGCATGTGGCAGGGCTCAGGTTGCACCGCAGCAGGTGGTCAGTAGTTTGCTCCTCTCCACACTCGCATGTCGTGGACTCCACTTGGTGGCCCCATTTCTTAAGATGGGCTCTGCATCTTGTGGTGCCAGAGCGCAGTCTGTTCAGCGCCTTCCAATTTGCCCAGTCTTCTGTGTGCCCAGGGGGGAGTCTCTCATTTGGTATCAGCCATTGATTGAGGTTCTGGGTTTGAGCCTGCCACTTTTGGACTCTCGCTTGCTGAGGTGTTCCAGCGAGTGTCTCTGTAGATCTTAGAAAACTATTTCTAGATTTAAGTCGTTGACGTGCTGGCTGATACCCAAACAGGGGATGAGCTGGAGATGTCTCTGCCTTAGTCCTTTAATTGCTAATCAAGGTGGTCAGTTGAAACATTCACACCTAGCTCCAACAGACAAGAGTCCTTTGTCTCACTCTGGTCATTCCACAGATATATAAACCCTTTTTACCTAGTTCCAACAGACCTCACTACCTCTGAGGATGCTTGCCATAGATGCAGGAAAAACGTCAGGAGAGAATGCCTCTAGACCATGGCCATATAGCCCAAAAAAACCTACAACAACCCAGTGATTCCGGCCATGAAAGCCTTCGACAATACAGTTTCCCAGCTATTACTATTGCTACAAATATTGCTACTATATTGCTACTAATGATGGCACCTTTATTTTCCCATAACTGTTGTTGTCAGCTATTATTATTGCTAAAAATATTGCTACTATATTGCTACTAATGATGGCACCTTTATTTTACCATAATTTGTATTGTTGTTGTTGTTATAATTATTATATTTATTTCTTTTCTGCTTTATCTCTCCCAAATGGGACTTTATTGAGAGTTTTCCTCGAGTTCTTTTTATCATAATTTTTAGCAAGAGTTCCCATATTATTATCCACATCCTTACTAAGACCTTGCAATTATTTTAGCACAATTTAGAGGGGTTTTCTATTAATGTTAGTGTCGTCGTCATCATCATCAAGGTCCTGCTATTATTTTATCATAATGATGTGGAATTTTCTATTATTATTATTATTATTATTATTATTATTATTATTATTATTATTATTATTTGAAACACAACAAGATGAGTCCACAGCAGACACTCTGCTGGCTGTTGAATTAGGTCACACGTCGGACACTTCCCAAGTATCTAGGACTGTGTGATGTATTCGCGATTACTATTATTATTATTATTGTTATTAATATTTGAAACACAACTAGATGAGTCCACAGCAGACACTCTGTTCGCTGTTGTATTGGATCACACGCCAGACACTTCCCAAGTGTCTAGGACTGTGTGATGTATTGGCGATTATTATTATTATTATTATTATTTGAAACACCACAAGATGAGTCCACAGCAGACACTCTGCTGGCTGTTGCATTGAATCACACGCCGGACAGTTCCCAAGTCTCTAGGATTATTATTATTATTATTATTATTATTATTATTGTTTGAAACACAACCAGATGAGTCCACAGCAGACACTCTGCTGGCTGTTGCATTGAATCACATGCCGGACAGTTCCCAAGTCTCTAGGATTATTATTATTATTATTATTATTATTATTATTATTATTATTATTATTTGAAACACAACCAGATGAGTCCACAGCAGACACTCTGCTGGCTGTTGCATTGAATCACACGCCGGACAGTTCCCAAGTCTCTAGGATTATTATTATTATTATTATTATTATTATTATTATTATTATTATTATTTGAAACACAACCAGATGAGTCCACAGCAGACACTCTGCTGGCTGTTGTATTGGATCACACGTCGGACACTTCCCAAGTGTCTAGGATTATTATTATTATTATTATTATTATTATTATTATTATTATTATTATTGAAACACAACCAGATGAGTCCACAGCAGACACTCTGCTGGCTGTTGCATTGAATCACACGTCGGACAGTTCCCAAGTGTCTAGGATTATTATTATTATTATTATTATTATTATTATTATTTATTATTATTATTTGAAACACAACCAGATGAGTCCACAGCAGACACTCTGCTGGCTGTTGCATTGAATCACACGCCGGACAGTTCCCAAGTGTCTAGGATTATTATTATTATTATTATTATTATTATTATTATTATTATTATTTGAAACACAACCAGATGAGTCCACAGCAGACACTCTGCTGGCTGTTGTATTGGATCACACGTCGGACACTTCCCAAGTGTCTAGGATTATTATTATTATTATTATTATTATTATTATTATTATTATTATTATTTGAAACACAACCAGATGAGTCCACAGCAGACACTCTGCTGGCTGTTGCATTGAATCACATGCCGGACAGTTCCCAAGTCTCTAGGATTATTATTATTATTATTATTATTATTATTATTATTATTATTATTTGAAACACAACCAGATGAGTCCACAGCAGACACTCTGCTGGCTGTTGTATTGGATCACACGTCGGACAGTTCCCAAGTCTCTAGGATTATTATTATTATTATTATTATTATTATTATTATTTGAAACACAACCAGATGAGTCCACAGCAGACACTCTGCTGGCTGTTGCATTGAATCACACGCCGGACAGTTCCCAAGTCTCTAGGATTATTATTATTATTATTATTATTATTATTATTATTTGAAACACAACCAGATGAGTCCACAGCAGACACTCTGCTGGCTGTTGCATTGAATCACATGCCGGACAGTTCCCAAGTCTCTAGGATTATTATTATTATTATTATTATTATTATTATTATTATTTGAAACACAACCAGATGAGTCCACAGCAGACACTCTGCTGGCTGTTGCATTGAATCACACGTCGGACACTTCCCAAGTGTCTAGGATATTATTATTATTATTATTATTATTATTATTATTATTATTATTAT